CCCCCGGGGAGAGGGCTGCCCGGCCCCGCTCCCGCTCCCTGCCTTCAAAGCCTGGCGCGGAAACTGCCCAGGTGCGGGCGTCCTGCTCCCCTCCAAGGTCCCTTCCTTCACGGCCCTGAGCCACCAACTGCGGCGCGGCCCCTGCCCCTGCCCGGCACAGGGCTTGACTCGTTGGTGCCAGGGGAAGAGCAGGTTGCAGCCCACCTCATAGCGCCCAAACCGCTCTCGAATCGCATTTAGGGACACACAGCTACACGCACACATTGGGCGTGTCGACACGTGCATTTACCCGGCTTTTATGGGGAGGGTTGGGTTTATACATGCAGGCGTTACAGCGCAGTAACGCTGTGTATGGACGGACTTGGGTACACAAATAGGGATACTGTGCAGTAAGGCATCTACACATGCCTCACTGTGCAGGAAACACTCAGGCGGGAATCTGTCACCTGCCTCATGCAGATAGCAAATTTCCACCCAAGTCACTGCATGTCGCCAGAGTTACTGCACAGCATGCAGTGTGTGGACTGCGCAGTGATTTCTGGCCACTGAGCGGGCACTTAAGTTACTGCCAAGTAACGGTGCACGTGTAGACATGCTCATTTAGACACATGCTCACACCCTTCCACACATGCTCAAACACACACGTCCCGCTTTCACTGAAATCTAGCACTCACTTAAAATCAGCCAAACCATGGTTACCCCAAGATCAAATGTGGCCAACCTTTTATTCAGGGGTGGATCTAGGACTAGCTCCCTGCTTCGTTCCCCACCTATGCAAACAGACCGTCCTCAAGAGCCCACAGGGACTTTAGGTCTCTAGCAGGTGACAATTCCCACCTTTCCTTTCCCTCCCCATTCCACAGCTGCCACTGTTGCTTTCCCTGATGTTTTGGGGGCTGGGAGAGCACCAGACCTGTTCCTCCCCACCCAGCCAGGGGAGGGGACAGGAGCAACATCAGGGCTGGAGAGTAGTTCCCTGCTCTGTCCTCCAGCCCCTGGGAGCAGGCAGGCGGAAGGGGATTCCCCTCAACCCATCCCCACTGCTGCTGTCCCCAACTGAAATCAGCCCACATGCAGCCTGGCTGCACCAGACAGGAGCAGCTCTGGTGCCTCCCCTACCCCTGGGACAGTGAGAAAGCAGAGGAAGTGGGGAAAAGGAGGGGAGGAAGGTTTTCACTTCTTGTTAAAGGGTTTTAAAAGTCCCCCAAAGCTCCCCTGGTGCAGTGCAATTCAAAAGAGGGGGTACAACTGCCCCATTACAGCTTCTCTGGATCTGCACATGCAGTTTTTAATAAAAAAGTTAAAGCTAGGACTCAGTGGCAACACATAGGGGGTGCATGGGGGTGCATGTCCACCCCCTGAGAGCGCTGCTGCACCCCCTGCCAGCCAGCATTCCCCACTTAAGCGACATGTTGGGGGGCAGGTGGGAGCACTGGTGCTCCCCCTGAAAGCGCCAGATGGGGAGCGGGGGCACCAGGAGAAGCGCCACTGGCACTTCTGTGTCAGTGCAATCAGCTGCAGGGGGACCCCTACCCCGCCAGTCACTGACCCTCTGACTCAGAAGGCACCAGTCGCCCATGCCAGAACTTCAGAAAAACCTGTAGAAGGTCTTTATACCACTCAGAGGGGGAAAAAAATTGAAAAAAAAAAGAGCGAAAAGACATTAAGGTGGAGATCTTAATATAAGCACCATTACCTTCCTGGGATAAAATAGTAAAGTTGGGCTGCCTGTGAATTAGGATTCTTTCTTTGGATAAGGCAGCAAAATTAAGTCTATAATCCCTGGTTAATTTTAGTCATACTGCAATGACTGCTTTGTTGTTATAACACAAAGAGAATTTTTTTTCCCCAAGGACATTGGCTTTGGAGAAAAGAATAAATAATTTACTTCCTGGATTAGTGTCTTAAGTCCTCTCTCTCCCTGCATTCCACCCACATTATTATGAATGACACTGATACTGTAAATGATACCAAGTAGGGCTGCAGCCTTGTAAACATTTACACTCATGTAAGTATTCCAATAACTTAATTTCCAAAACAAAATGCTCTTAAAAGATAATCGGATGGAGGGAGGAAAGCAAAGCAGAAGGGGGAAAAAAAATCATATTAAACAGAAAATATTTTTTTAAAAGCCAGTAGGCTAGATAAATTTGTAGGAATAGCTGTTACAGAGTGTAAATGTTTACAAGGCTGCAGCCCTACTTGGTATCATTTACAGTATCAGTGTCATTCATAATAATGTGGGTGGAATGCAGGGAGAGAGAGGACTTAAGACACTAATCCAGGAAGTAAATTATTTATTCTTTTCTCCAAAGCCAATGTCCTTGGGGAAAAAAAATTCT